AATTGCATGACTTAGCTTGATAGTTGTTTTATCTTTATCTACGTTCAGCTCAGAATATAACTCTTCAACAAGAAGTTTGTATGTCAAATCAGTCGGAGAAAAAAAGAATATCACTCCTTTGGCATCTTTAACTTTTCCATCCCATTCATATTCCCCACTCGAATTCAATGTCCACTTGCCACCAGACTTGTAATAAATAATCGTCATTCTTTCATCACTTGCATCCATTATGACTGTATAAAATAAACACAAAATGTGAGATATATGATGATCAGTTTGACGAGTATGACCAGTTTGCCGAGTATGACCAGTTTGACCAGTTTCGTCAATATGACCAGTTAGACGAGTTTGCCGATTCTGATTATTTCGAAGAGTTTGACCAGTTTGATATAGTTTAACTAATGTGACCAGTTTGACTAATGTGAATCATGATAATATTGATTCAACTCAATTAAGTCTACAAAATACGATATGCTATTGATATATATGTTCCATTTTACTCATTTATACCATATGGGTCGAATATAAACATGAAAACAACAAAACCCTTTCATAAAAAGAAAAACCCTAAATGCCCAAAGTATATAACGGAATTTAAAGAAGAAAACTTACCTATACACGAGATCTATGCTTATTGGATGAGATTATTGGAGATTTCGCTTGTTTTTCTCAATAAATTTGGTGAGAATTTCACACTGTAGAGGAGGAGCTTGAAGAGAGAGAGAGAGAGCGTGATACAGGTGCGAAAAAACGGAAGAAAGGAGAGAGAGAGCGGGAGAGAGAGAGGTGGAGAGAGGAGAGAAAAATATTTTTATTTTATTATATTATATAAATTAATAAAGGGTATTATAGGGAAACTACATTTATAAGGTTATATTTGATGTTGTCTCTTTTCTTTTTTTTATGAAGGGTATCCATTGAAGTCCCATGTATCATTTAAGGGCATTTTTGCAATTGCCCCCTGTCTCTTCCCTTTGCAAATTGATAGACAATACTATCGAAATTCGGTCCAATTTATTTAAGTATATGGGGGGTTTAAATAATGCACTTGTATTGATGAAATTTATATTAAGAAAACTATATAAGAGCGATTTATATAAACGTACGCATATGCCAAATGAAACTATCACTCTCCACGAGCTGAGGGATGAAAGATACTGAGCTTCGAATTTATAGTGCCCCGGATAGTACTATTTGCGACAGGCGACTATTTTGTTTTAAAAAACAATTATGATGCTATTTAATTAGAGATAAACCCAAAAAAATCAATTATCCCATTTACACCAAGAAACCCTTCTTTTAAAATTTATTATAAAAAACCATCAACTATTAACTTTGAGAAAATTTATTTAGAACCAATAAATTTAAACAATGAATTTTTAATAAATTTTAAATAAAAAGTTTTTTTGGTGTAAAAGAAATTGTTGAAGGTTTTTCCTAAATTTATCCCGTTTAATTATAAACATGTTTATAACGACGTCGTTTTTTGTCGTCATAGTGAATAATTATTATTATTATTATTTTTTACAGTAGATGAATCAGAATCCGTGGCTCGTAACTGTGGCATATTAATTCATGTGTAGAAAATATAAATGTTAGAAGTTAGTGGAGCCAAATTAATTTATATTTATTATGATAATTTAGGATATGCTATTTTAACCCCTTCTACGATAAAACTCATGATGCTTATCACTTTGTCTTAAAAAAATCATTTGATGATAATTATATGGGCGCGTGATATTATAACGGGAAAGGTTATATTGCTTGGTTAGTTGGTTATGATTGAAATATATTTTTTAAAATTTATAAAAAAATGTTATGAAATATTATTATACATCAATTAATGCATCATGATTCTTTGTCTAAAAGAGCAACCAGAGCCTAAGGTAGGGCTAAGGTCAATGACTCGAGGATGTTTGATCGACCGGTGACCACAATCAGTTTATTTGTTTGTCAAGAAAAATAAAAGACAATAGAAAAACTCGTGGGCCACCACATATACTACTTTAAAAATTATATGAATCATTTTTTTTAATATGGAAAACAATTTTATTTTGTTTAACTTAATTATTGTTTCATTATGTATATAGACTCTTGTATCAGATATAATTGTTGTATTTTTCTGCCATTAAACCTTGAATTTATAATTTCAAGTGTATCTAAATCTGAACCCGAAATGTAGGATATTTTTATATAGGTGCATATTGTATTTGCGCAATGAAGAAAATAATATAATATTTATATCGTGAAACCGAATAAAAAAAAAGCATTAGTTATGAAAATATATACGATTATGAATATAATATTTTGTGATTTAAGATGGAGAAAAAAATAGGTATGGTCAACTCATGAAGGGATGAGCCGTGGTTTAATAAAAAAGGGAATCCTCCAATTACCAAATATAAAATATACGTTTTGGCCATAACCTTTTATAGATGCCTTTATTTTAATTATAAAATTATTTATTTGGTATCATATATATATAGGTCGTGTTTAATCATCAATCATATAAACACAGCAACCACATACATACTGCCAACGATTTCAAATGGATGTATTATTTTCAACAAAGCAACGGGCAAACGGAATTCACTTTTCTCTTTAAAAGAAATTGTTCGATGCTTAAAATTAACCACTAATAGGACTCCCTCCTCTTTTTTTTTTTTTTTTTGTGGTCATTGGACTCTTGTTGTTTTAGCTTTTGTTTTTTCCATTAACGAGGAAAAAAAAAAAGGCAAAAGGCGTCCGTACAGATTGTTAAAAGGAAATTATAAAGGTATATTGACATCGATAGATAGCTTTTTATTCTCTTAAACATTATTCCCTTTTCCATTTCCCCTTTGGTAGGGCCCAATTCTGCAGACTTACCATAGCCCAAAAAAAAGTATTTTAAAAATAACAGTGTAATCGATTCGATTTTAATTAATATCATAACCCTCAAAGGCCAAAGACAAATAAAAAAAACGAAATGAATTATTTAAACGAGAGAGCCCTTTAAATTAACAATCTTATCATGGTCCAAAGTGGAGATAATTTTTCTCATATTTATAACATTTTTTTTGGGAATCCATTCGAAGCTATAAAGGCCACGGAATAAAACAAAACAACTGAGGATGTGAAATTAAATATAGGAAAAAAAAAAAAATTAAAATGGTGAATAAATTTGTTTAATAAATGCAATTTTTATTGAACAGATATTGGATGGATGGTGATCAGTCAAAAGATATTCCGTCAATCAAACACGTCTACAGATTTATTTACTTTTTTGGATCAATGAAGTTATTGGTATCATATAAATAAGCAGTAAAAAAATAAATTACATATTCGGGTCTTGTAAGAGGGCAGAAAAAATTACATGATCAGTCTCATCCCACCTTTTTTTTACATGAAATGTTTATTTTGTCTCATCATTATTGCGTTAGAATATATTTTCTTACAAATAATTGCTTCCTGATATATATATATATATATATGTCATTTAAATTATTGGGCTTGGTTTCGATTTGAAAGATAATCTTATTGGGCTAGCGGTGAACATTAAACATTTGGGCCTTGGTTAATCAACGCGACAGTTTCAAAAAAAAAAAAATACCAGTTATTATAATTATCAAATTTGTAGGTAGAGTTTACTCGATTATAATCGATACCTGTAGTCAGCTCTAGAACACCAATTAAAAATAAATAAATTATTATATTTGATATTACATTTTATTGTTTTAAATAATAATAGTAAAAAACTGACTGACTATGCCATTATCGAGTAAATTTTACATACAAATTCAATTTCTATGTTTCTCATCATTTGGCGGAATATTTGTATCACGCCAGTTATAAAATTTGAATCTAAATATCTTATGTAATTCTTTGTTTTATAAATTTGTATATTTTAATCGCATTTAAAACTGTGAGCAATTAGTTAAATATTTTTCAAGAGTAAATATAATAACGTTGTGTTTGCGTAAATCTCGAATTTTTAAAAAAAGTGAGAGACCAATTCAAAATTCCGTCATGCCTGCCAACAGCTCCTCCTACCTCGCCACGCGTATTGACGGCGCGTGGTTCCACCTCCTCATACGTTTCTTCCTTCTTCTTCAACAAATCTGAAACTGCAATAGACGCAGATCGCCTCCAGATGACGGTTACGTCGATGATCCACTGACTAAGGTCCCGTGAAATCGGAATTCAATGTCTCTCTCGCTGTCCTCTTCTTTCGGGGCTGCGTCATCGTCGTCTCCGGCGACCGCTTCATCTTCTTCCACCACGACGTCGTGGTTATCCGGCATCGTTCGCGGTCGTGGCGACAAATCCGGGGGCGCGAAGCTGTCCAAGAGCTCCTCCGTCCCATCTGCCGGCGGAAGCGGCGATTACGGTGGGCCCGTCCAGGGGAAGAATCAATTTCGCGGCGTTCTGTTCAAATACGGGCCGAAACCCATTCAGGTGGTTTTGATCGTCCATAGTTGCTTTTGAGTGACTTCGTCGAAGCAAGAGAGATTATTATACTTCGTATTGCGAGATATATACATTAATCGAGTTAGCTGAAACCTGAAACTGTGCTCGGCGTTTGACTGAACGTTAATTTCTGTTCATTCTTTTTGTTTTGTGACACCAACGACCGAGATTGTAGTCTGATTTCAGCTTGTTTGCTAATTCTGAATCTTCTATTTGTCAATGGAAACTGTGTGGACCTTTTGTACAACGTTATTACAGTAATTTTTGTTGAATCTTTGAAGCAGAACAATGATATTTAGGTCATTAGATGGAAATTCCACGCCTTATGATATCTGTTTGATTAGAAGTTGTCAAAGGTGATGTCTTTGGAAAAAATTCAGAATGATTCTTGTGTATGTCAAGAATTCTCTTGCCTTGTTTGCGACATTGCTCCTTTGTTGGCTATTTCCCTGGTTCTTGGTTTTCGAGGTTAATCTCCATGAGTTACAGCTGCTTGAGGGTTACTTTTCATTTCAGGTGGCTTTTAAGACTGGAGACTATAAGCAACAAGTGATATTTATCGGTGGATTGACTGATGGATTTCTGGCTACTGAGTATGTCGATAGTTCCTTGCCAAGCTTTTTACCTTTCGGAATCGCTAATTGTTGTTCCCTGGTGTTGTCTTCTGCTCCTTTGCTGGGTTGTTTATACTAAGATGTTGTCCTTTATTCGGCCATGAGTTCCAATTGTGCTCGAATAGCTCGTTTTTCTTGGGTTTTAATTGATTGATATTTACGTCTTGGCTTCTGCTTATCCTGGACCTCATTGTGCCGTTTTCAGATACTTGGAAACACTTGCCATTGCTTTGGATAAGGAGAAGTGGTCGCTTGTTCAGCTACTTATGTCTTCTTCATATTCCGGATATGGCACTTCCAGCTTGAAACAAGTAAGATACCACTGGTTATATTGGTTAAGAACTATCCTTTGTCTTGACATTGATGCGGTCTTGTTAGTATAGGTGGATATACTTGATGAAATTAAAATGCCTTCCCATTGGATATTGACACGATAGGATTTTCTCTTGTTCTGTCTTTGTTGAAGGATGCACAAGAAATCGACCAGTTAGTAAGCCATCTCATCAACAAAGAGAACTCAGAGGGTGTTGTTCTGCTTGGTCACAGCACCGGTTGTCAGGTCTGCACGGATCATACTTCAGTTTCTAAGATCACATTTCAGTAAAATAAAATTTTATAACTGAAAATCCTCCTATACATGTAAACAGGACATTGTGCATTATATGCAAACAAATGCTGCATGCTCCCGAGCAGTCCGAGCTGCTATTTTGCAGGTACCTTTCAACATGTTTGGATAGATGGTCATCTTTTTACTATGTTCTAAATGCTGCCCTCATTCTCGTGTAATGAACCCGTATTGGGTTTCGGCTGAATTGTTCTATATATATTCTGGTTTTAGTCAGTAGATCTATGCCTATTGCAATGTTCAGGCACCGGTTAGTGATAGAGAGTACAAAGCAACACTTCCTGAGACAGCCGCCATGATAGACTTGGCTGCAACCATGATAAAAGAAGGTCGAGCAGAGGAACTAATGCCTGGAGAAGCTGATCCTTCTGCTCCAATTACTGCATACAGGTACAACTGCTTGAGTTGCCCTATAGTTTCAAGCTTGAAGTCTAAACTCAATAGAAGAATGCTTAGAAAACTTTTAAAAAAAAAATTTGATGTCAAATGTTGATGCTCGTTTTCACTGCAGATACCACTCTCTTTGCGCGTACATGGGAGACGACGATATGTTTAGTTCCGACCTTAGCGATGATCAATTGAAAACTAGACTTGGGCACATGGCTAACACACCTTGCCAGGTAAAAAAAACGACCATTTCAAGCATCTCGACGCCCAGTTTATATAATCCAGGTATTGATTTTCACCTTTGGTTCCTTCCACACAGGTGATCTTTTCCATGGCTGATGAATATGTACCGGATTATGTCGACAAAAAGGCACTGGTCGATAGGTGAGAGATACAAAGCCGCCTTTTTCGTGTTATTGTAACGAGAAGAAAGCCATCTGAGCATAGTATATACATTTCAACATGAGAAAAAAACATGAGAAGAGAGGCAGTTTAAGCATGTGAAATGAGAAGGAAGATCAAAAGAGTGGAGGATGAACATGGAGATATGTATAGAAGGAGGAATGTCTGATGTATGGTTTGATGATGATGTTGATGCCAGATTATGCAGAGCGATGGGAGGTGCAGAGAAAGTGGAGATAGAGCACGGGAATCACTCACTTTCCAACAGAGTTCACGAAGCTGTCCAATCCATTCTCTGCTTTGTCATGCGTGAAGGCCCTTCTGGTTGGGATGATCCTTGGAGTTAAACGCTCCCCCCCCCCTTATCTGCGTTTGGCGTGTGGCGTTTGGCGTTTGGCGTTTGGCGTTTGCAAACTCTCCATTTATTTCTATTCTCTCTCGTCTCCCCCTCCCCCGATTACCAAAGCTGTTCTTATCATATGCTCTTCATTCTTTTATTTTCTCCTTGGGGTTTTTTCTCTTTCTTCAACACCTTTTTCCTTATAAATATGTTAATCGGTGAGATATATGGTTTATATATACATTTATTTTGTAATTTTGTAATTTCATGAGTTTTTTAAAATTTAATTTGGGACGAACGAAAAGGTCAAATTATATTAATGTTACATGGAACCACTACAATATATTTAGGCGCAACTGCTTTTCTTCTTTTTACTTAACATTGACTTTTTCTGACTACTAAAGCAATTTGAAAACATCGACTTATATATAATTATGGAAATATATAAAGTTGTTGACTTTGTTGTATCAATTACGATATTTAAATACCTCGAATTTTCACCATATTTTTCTTATCCAAAAACTCAACGATACTACTCAATTATATCTTATGAATATATAAATAGAAATACGGGGAAAATATTACCATTCACATAATTATAATACAAATCGACAATGTGTGTATAATGTTTAGTCCTATCGAATGATTCAAATATTTATTTAGTCGTCTTATTAAATAAATTCATTATATAAAATTCCGAAAACCTATACAGTTTGTATAGAAAGAAAACGCTTGACCCATCAATGGAAAATATTATTATATTTTAACAAAAAAAAAATATTATTATATAAGCGGCGCATTATAGTGACCCAACTCACTCATCATTTTAAACTCAACTTTCTTATGTATTTTCCTCTAGTTTTTTTTTATTGAAAGATATAATTTTTCAACCTGTCTATAATAATAAACTCTTGTTAGTAAACGTTACAAATTTTGTAACGATCCGATAATCTAGTAGATTTTCTTTAAATTAGTAATTGGGATCCAAAATCTTGTGAATCTGCAATCGATTGGGGATAATTATAGCATGGATTTGCTTTGATTTGGTTATTAATATCAGCAATATGTTTGTTAGATCTAAAAAAATATATATATATATCAAGCATAATTAGGGCATTGGATAAATACTGATTTGGGTAAAGATTTTCTTATATCCGCTCTATTCTGTTAAGAATCCACGGAGATTCCATGTCCACATATTCATGCTCCACGTTACCCGTTTAACATTATTTACTGCTTTTTTTAGATTTAAAAAAACGAATCTGCCATTTTTTTTGGGAATTTATTTATTTATTAAAAAGGAGAATCGCCGGTGAGACACAGCATCTGACGCCAAACACTGTGTCTGTCCCCCAGATCACACCGTACACGGCGGATTTATTACCTTGTGAAATAACAAAAATACCCCCGACGCCATACCCACGCAGCTCTACCTCCTGTCGGTGCTTAATTGTTTGTAGCGCGACCACCGGTTCGGCCTCGTGGTAATTTCGGTGACTACACGAGGGTATAACCGCCCATCTACAAAATTGTCTTGTCTTTCTTTTGTTTCTTTTTTTAAGAATTTTTTTTTGGCACCGCCATGGATTCCAAGAATTATCGTAGAGACTAATCCTGGGAGAGCCCTAAATATTTCTCTTTATAATTCTTGACTTTTTTCCCCTTTTTTTTACATCCGGAAATTCAGTTAGAACTTCTGTCGAATCTCGGATAAGGAAACTAAAAAGTCCGAGGAGGAGAAGGAAAGATTTTTTCTTCTCAGAAGACGAAAGAAGAGGAGGTGAATCATCTTCTTCCATTCAGAGAATCTGGGTCGTGGTTCTTTGGCTGTTACAGTCATCGAGCCGACGAGAAAATTTTCCGACATTGAAGCATAAAGAGTATGTATAAACCTCTTCATTTTTTATTTTATTTTTTTTACAGTTTGATTATTAGATTGTTTTTTTAATGATTGTTTTGTGTGTTTTTATCTAGAAAATCGAAACTTATGCTTTACTGAATTATTATCATATTATCGGAATTCGCCTTCTTATTGTCAAATTGTTAATCGATTGTCCAGATTTTCTCAGTGAATTTTTCTTCCCTTTTTTCTGCTTGGATCTCAGATGCCTGAGAAAGGAGCGATTCCGTCTCCGGCGGCGATTCTCCGGCCGAGCCCTCTGCACCATTGGCGATTCGGTGCTCTCACAGCGCTCGTCTTCTTCCTCATGGTGGTCGTGTGGAGCATCGATGGCTGCACCATCAGAGGCTTCATCCAGCCGTGGAGATGGAATGTAGACTCCATGAGAGCCAATGCTTCTTCTTTCTCTTCGGTCATTGTGAAGAACCATCTTCAAGATCCCACCTTTAACACAACCCGCCACCGAAATCTCACTCCCGACACAACCCACTCCGCGACCCGACAACGGAATCTCACTTCGAAATCGAAACCGAGCCCGACTCAGCTCAAGTGGGTTTTACCCGAGTTGGAGCAAAATTTCACGACGAATCTTCTCAAAAAGTGGTTGGCTCCTGGAGGACAACCTTGCAGAGAGGCGAGGACCGTCGAGATTTCAGTTCCCGACATCGACGGTAAGGATTTGGTGGAGTTAACGGCCGGTGAGATTCACGAACTCAATTTCCAAGCCCTCGACGATTCGGGCACACCAGTTTGCCTCGGTGGGGACTACTTCGAAACGGATCTCTCCGGCGAAAACTGGAAATCTAGACCGCCGGTGAAGGATTTCGGCAATGGGACTTACTCTGTTTCGCTTCAGGTTCATCCAGACTTCGCCGGCGATTACAATCTCACCGTGATTTTGCTATTTCGTCACTTCGAAGGCCTCAAGTTCAGTTCCAGTCGCTTCGCTTTCGACAAAAAGCTACGGAACACAAGAATACGCTTCGCTAAGGCTGAAGTCACATTGCCGGAGCTCATGGCTTGTGGGCCATCGGATTTCACCAGAGACGCCTGGTCCGGACGGTGGACGAGGCACGGGAGTAACGGCGAGTGCCAGATCAGCGACGACGGTCGTTACCGCTGTCTTGCCGCAGATTTCGCATGTCGGAAGCCGTGGTGTGACGGCGCGTTAGGAGCGTTAGAGAGCAACGGTTGGGTTTACTCGAGCCATTGCTCGTTCAAGCTGTTTTCTGGCGATTCTGCCTGGGAATGCTTGAAGAACAGATGGATTTTCTTCTGGGGAGATTCAAACCACGTCGACTCGATCAGAAACTTGCTGAATTTCGTCCTCGGCCTCCCAGAGATCCGCTCGGTCCCGAGAAGATTCGATCTGAGCTTCACAAACCCGAAGAACACATCACAGAGTGTTAGGATCACCAGCATTTTCAACGGCCATTGGAACGAAACCCAGAACTATCTAGGACTGGATTCGCTTAAAGATCAAAACTTTAGAGACTTGCTGAAGAAATACTTCTCCGAAGAGACAGCTCCAGACGCCATGATCGTGAACTCAGGTTTGCACGACGGAATCCACTGGTCCAACGTCAGAGCTTTCGCGAAAGGCGCAGAGTACGCAACCAAGTTCTGGAGGGAGGTGTTCGAGTCAGTGAAGAGCAGAGGACTGGAACCACCGAAGGTGATATTCAGGAAGACGATCGCGACAGGAGGGTACGCGAGATCAATGGCGTTCAACCCAAGCAAGATGGAAGCTTTCAACGGCGTGTTGCTGGAGAAGATGAGGAAAGCAGGAATGGAAATTCCACGCCTTATGATATCTGTTTGATTAGAAGTTGTCAAAGGTGATGTCTTTGGAAAAAATTCAGAATGATTCTTGTGTATGTCAAGAATTCTCTTGCCTTGTTTGCGACATTGCTCCTTTGTTGGCTATTTCCCTGGTTCTTGGTTTTCGAGGTTAATCTCCATGAGTTACAGCTGCTTGAGGGTTACTTTTCATTTCAGGTGGCTTTTAAGACTGGAGACTATAAGCAACAAGTGATATTTATCGGTGGATTGACTGATGGATTTCTGGCTACTGAGTATGTCGATAGTTCCTTGCCAAGCTTTTTACCTTTCGGAATCGCTAATTGTTGTTCCCTGGTGTTGTCTTCTGCTCCTTTGCTGGGTTGTTTATACTAAGATGTTGTCCTTTATTCGGCCATGAGTTCCAATTGTGCTCGAATAGCTCGTTTTTCTTGGGTTTTAATTGATTGATATTTACGTCTTGGCTTCTGCTTATCCTGGACCTCATTGTGCCGTTTTCAGATACTTGGAAACACTTGCCATTGCTTTGGATAAGGAGAAGTGGTCGCTTGTTCAGCTACTTATGTCTTCTTCATATTCCGGATATGGCACTTCCAGCTTGAAACAAGTAAGATACCACTGGTTATATTGGTTAAGAACTATCCTTTGTCTTGACATTGATGCGGTCTTGTTAGTATAGGTCAGATGCAACGACGGGGTTCACTACGGCAGAGCTCCGGCGAAGATGCGGTGGAGAGACGGTGAGGTCGGTCATCAGTATTTCGTGGATCTGATGCTCGTTCATGTCTTGTTGAATGCCTTGTGTGCAAGATAAGAGGAGAAGGTTTTTTTTTTGTCTAGGAAGGAATTACATTTCTTTATATTATTTTCAACAATATAGTTTCATTAGTGGATTCATTATCATAAGTAAAACAGATTACACATGTTGATGTAGATAAAAGCATGCAACATTTTGTATCATATGTATAACAAAGTTATTTGAATTTGAATTTATTTGAATTTTATGCATTTCATTGGATATATTAATGCTAGAAAAAAATAGAAAAATAGGGTATTTAATTGAGAATGAACCAAAGATGAGCTGCCCAGGGAAGGAAACGCCGATCACGCTAACGCTGAAGATGGATTTTTAGCAAAACTATTCGACAATTGGATCGATATTACCAAACCCCAATTGAGTTTTGTTTTGGCTCATGTCGTTTCTCGGTTCGGAGAATCAATCTGTAAGGCAAAAGGGTCCCCGGGTACTCTTCACTTGGAAGATTTTGTCCCGGCTTCGTCGGAGATTCGGATTGAAAGCGAAGAGCTTAATCTGCGAGAGAAAGGGTAAAGGATTCAGAATTCGATCATTGTCGAGTGGAAGCCATTATCAGAGATCGATCGGCGACGAGGAATTGAACTAGATTTGGTGAAGGTCGCTGTTCATGGCGTTCACGTGGGGCTCTTCTCTCAGGGTGCTCCTTCTCCTGATTCTTCTCGCCGCCATTATCGTAGCTTGCTATTATCTCCCCGTCGAAAAGGTCCTTCCGATTGCTCTCGTTCTTATCGTAATTGGTGGAATCTGGTTATTTTGTGAGGATTTCCGACGCGGGTATTTGGCAAGTTCCTCTTGATTTCTGAAAATTCGTATGTTTTCTGTGAGTTTACGAGGAATCTGGATACGCATAACACGTTATTGCAGGCCGTGTTCATGGAGATGAAGGGTTTGATTAACAAATCCATAAAAGCAAAGTCCTGCTTCACATTTACAGATTGATCTCTGGATGATAATTCTAGCTTGAACCTCCTTCATGCCTAGTAAAGATTTGTGGCATCATTAGCTAGTGATTTTGGTTGTTTACTGTTCCATCCTTTTTTATGCAGATTTTGAAGGATTTCTTGTTATGGGTTGAAGAAAATCTAGGACCTTGGGGACCTCTTGCACTCTAAGTGATTTCCATCCCGTTTCTCGAGTTTGATCAACCAAGTTGGATGCTTTCGGCATTGGGGGGTGAGTGACTGCTCTTCGTTAGCTTGTGCCATAGAAAACATAGGCTACTCTCATACTGAATTTTTCCTCAGGGCTGTTGCTTACATTCCTCTGACAGTTCTGGCAGTTCCTGCTTCAATTCTCACAGTATGTCTCAGGTCCTAGATCTTGAAAATGTGTGTTATTAGTCATTACATCGTTGCATTCCACTCGGAATCAAATTTCGGGTGATAACTGTATTATTTCCCATAAAATGAAAACCTTAGGCAGCGAAAGATGTGATCTTTCAGGTTGGAGGTGGCTACCTTTTCGGGCCACCGATTGGTTTTGTTGCAGACTCAGTTGGTGCCACGCTCGGTGCAGGAGCAGCATTTCTTCTCGGCCGTACAGTAATCTTTCTGCAGCTTTCAATACATTATTTATGGCCAGTAGATTGGTTAAAGAAGTTGCTTATTGGCATGAATATTATTGATTTGTCTAAAAACGCCCCATCTTTCTTGCGGGGTTTCTTTCCAGATTCACAATTTTGTTGTGCTTTGAGCTTATATGCTTGCATGATATATTTTATGCAGATTGGAAAACCTTTTGCTGTCTCTAAATTGAAGGATTACTCTCAATTCCAATCAGTAGCACTCGCGATCGAGAACTCGGGTTTCAAGGTTTGCACTGAGAACTGATCGATATTCCTACGTGCTGATGTTTTTTTGAGAACTTACCATTCTGCAATCGAATAGATCTGCTTGCTGCTTCGGCTTGCTCCTCTTGTCCCGTTCAACATGCTGAACTACCTCTTATCCGTGACACCGATTCCGCTGGGAAAATATTTGCTTTCTTCCTGGTTAGGGATGATGGTAATCTTAATCTACAATGTTGTGTTTGTTATAAAGTACGTCTACACTTGCTTTCTCAATATGAGAATGCAATTCATTTGCAGCCGATAACGCTCGCTTTAGTGTATGTTGGAACAACTCTGAAGGATCTTTCCGATGTGACTCACGGGTGGAGCGAATTTTCTGAGTCATTGGGTAAGAATCGAACAATCTTCATTACATTTTCCGGGTTCATCTCAAGTTGTTTCTGATCGTGATCTGTATAATACACAGGCATTCTTGGTTTCAAGCCTCGTAGTATATTGTAAGTTCCTGAATACCAAGTTCTAGATATTAAGGAAGCGATGGCCTTCATTATTAACCTAATCTAAGACACAAGTGTTTGGATCTATCTATCAATGACTGAAATTTGAAGGCTAAGCCTCAGCAGGGTCACACCCATTAGGGCAAATGCTAAGATTTCATCGTCTTCTCGACACCTTGCAGTGATATTAATGATATGTGTCACGAAAGTGGCAAAAGACGCCCTCGGGAAAGCCTTAGCAGAGCACGAGGAAACTAACGGCGTTGCGGCTGGCGTTCCGGAAGATCTGAACCAGCCTCTCTTATTCAAGACAGATCCTCCCCCCAAACAGGCGCCTTCCTCCTCAAGAAACTCATAACCGTTAACAGTTGCTCTGATTCTTGTCACTGTACATGTAGATTTCACATGTACTCAGGAATAGGTCATACATGTATATTTAACATTTTCTCGGATGGATTTCGGATTTCTATAGTCTGTAACATCACAATCTTCTTTTTCAAAACTGTAAACCAGTTTGAAGAAAGAAAACGAAAGATGTAATAATAGTGGTGGTGGGGCAAGATTTTCATGAGGAGAAAGATGTGGGTCCAAGGAATGTAATCATATATATTTGCACCCATCATTGCATTGTGGCCCATAGGGATGTATGGTAAGTTAAAATAAAAATAAAAACATAAAGATTAGAACTTAATTCGAGGGCCAACAAAAAATGACAAAACCAAGTTGGATTTCCAAATTCTTACTGCCGATGATGATGAAAGCTGAAGCAAAATGATGTAAAGACTCTTTGTTTTGTCCTGTCATGATGCTATTTTTTCGGATAATTTGTGTACAAGGAACTGTTATTTTTTTGCATAATGAATAAAATTCTATATTTTCTCTTCATAGAAGATCTAATATTACATTGCCTGAAATGACAAAACATGTTTTACCACATACTTCTATTATCAATAAAGGTACATCCCAAGAACCCTTTTTGTTATTTAAATTTTCAACCCAAAAAAACGAACATTGGTTAGAGCTGGTGTCTAATATTCTTTTGGACTTATATGCTGAACCCGAGCTTAATTTAAATACTATATAACATCGTTTTCCTTATAATTCGTTGGCGTGTCATTTCCATCTGGGTCGCATTTTCCAATGAAAATGAAAACACCAAAGACCCAATTCACCACCAAGCATATAGCCGAGAAGCTCCCGAGGCTATGCCTCTTCCTATTACGGCAATGCTACGGCGGATGCGGCGACCGGACACGGTTACTCCCCGGCTCCGCCTCCACCACTCGGTTCTCGAACCTGGGCGACCGACCCATCGAGCTACAGATCCGGGTCGGGTCGATCCTCAGACGGGTCCACACCCTGAAACCGGGTCGGTCCAAGAGGCTCAAACACGGTCACATTTACAGGGCGTACATGCCCGGTGGCGGCGGTGACAACCTCGGGGAGTTGTTGTACGGCTACGACGAGACGTGTCGTCCGTACATATGGGTCCACGACACGGGCATGGATTTCTCCAGGATGGTGAAGCAGCAGTACATTAGTCTGGAGGATCTGAGGGATTGTTCTGAGATTAGGGTTTTCAGAGATCGAGAGAAAGGGTGCGTCTCTGTTCAGAAGAGAAGCAGGGATGGTTTCTGTTGAAAGAGTCTTTCGTCATGTCTTTTCTGTTCTTGTGTTTGATCGGTTTCTTCTGAGTTGGAGAGACGAAGAGATGTTTCTGTATTGTTCTTGTCAAGTGAAGACGTGAATCAAAGATCTCATTTGCATGAAAATTATGTACTTTTTAGAGATCATTTTCCAAGGTTCATGGTATTGACGATCCAAAAAAAAAAAACTCATGATTCAACAAAAAAAAATAATGTTTTTTTATTGATCGAGGAACTAGACAATAACGGGCAAGAGACAGAGGAGTGGGAGATCATCTGAGAGAGTTTTCTCGAGAAACAAACACATGATTGAATCTTATCTTACACCTCCCCTTTTGAGGAGAAAAGGAAAATGATACGAATTCCTTCATGGGTATTTAATAAAATCTAAAAAAAATATATAAGTAACTTATATACACACACACATGCAAGGAGACATATTTGTTTTCCATTTTCCTTTAGCCATGAATCAAAGACAGGGATCGTTATTACGTAATGAAGAAACAAAACAGCTTTCTTTTCTGCGTCAAAATATTAATTTGTTTATTGTTTTGATGTATTTCCCGTTAGAAGAAAAGAACACAATCAATAGTTTCATGTTTTTTGTGGAGTCGAATCAAATCTCAGGACATGTTTCAGTTCAGTTATATGTTCGGTCACGCGGTTAAAGTAAAAAAAAAACCTAAAAAAAAAGTCAAAAGCTTTGACAGTTCGTCGATTCTTCCTCACCTACACTGACTTTTTCCAGATCTCTTCTTCTTCTCCTCTGTTTTCTGCTTTCTCGCCTTTGTCCCCATCATATCCATGGGAATCTCCTTCAGCAACCGGCGACGAAACAACCACCGCCGCCACCACCATCACCTCCACCCTCCGCCGCCTCCGCCGCCTTATTATTACCTCCCTGATCCGCCGCGGCAACCACTGCCTCCGCCGGTGCCGCCGCAGCAGCAGCAAGAGTACACCTTCACGGCGAACCCAACTTACCTCCCGGCCCTTCCTCCTCCTCCGCCTCCGCCGCCGCCGATGATTCAATCATGCTCGCACGGTCCGTACAACTCGTACGGGTACGGGAACGCGGCGACGGGTCGCTACAACTACCACTACCATTATTATCCCCAGCAAGCTCCGTACTTCGCAGGTCAGACCAATGGGTGGGCTCCGATGCTGAGGCCGCCGGCGATGGTGGGTCCTCCGCCGCAACCGCCGCCTTACGTGGAGCATCAGAGCGCGAAGAAGGTGAGGAACGATGTGAATGTGCACAAGGATACGGTGAGGCTCGAAGTAGACGATCTGAGCCCTGGTCACCTCCTTGTTTCCTTCGTCTTCGATGCCCTCTTCGACGGCAGGTAAAAATTCGCCGATTACGACTCTCGATATTCAAAATCAGAGCTTTCGAAATTGAGCTTTTGTGGGTTTGATTGAATCGGAGAGATTTATGCGCTTCGATATTGAATTTCGTGTTCTTAGATTCATGGCCTGTAGAATCTGATGCTGGATTTAGCGTTATTACAGACAGTGCATTAGCAAAATCAATCAAAGATTCAAGATTTTACATTAGGTGGGTTTTTGATTTTACAAGGTTTCCGTTCCTGTGACAACAAATGATTTGGTTTAGTCATATAATTGATTCAAACATTTGCATTTGATGGTATTCAAACTCTAGACTCAGTAGCTCAGTGCTGAAATCAATCCCTCGGGATTACAACCAAATGCCTTCTGCATCATCTAATCGGTCCAAATCAGACAAATTCAAGACGAACTGAGCAACTGATGATCCAAAAAGACCGTAACTTTACCCACAAGACGTGGGTGGATTCACATTTTCTTCGAACTCTTAGTTATTGCTGATAGTGGTATATGTTTACAAGTCATCAAACCGATATCAATGACTTGTTATGAGATGATTAGATCATTAACAATGACTTTTCACTGGCAGTTTCACCATCACGTTCTTCGCCAAGGAGGAAGCGAAATGCGAGTTGATTCCGCAGTTTCCGGAAGTTTACGCCCCGACCAGAGTTCCCTTCTACAAGGGTCTCAGTCAGAAGTTTCTACAGCCTTCTGGAACCGGAACTGACCTCGGCTTCTTTGCCCTTGACGATCTTTCTAAACCGTCTTCAGATGATGTCTACCCTCTTGTGATATCCGCCGATACGTCAGTCTCTCCAAACTCCTCGGATTCAGAAGAATCGGTTCACAAGCAAATCACTCAAGCGGTTCTGGAGAAGGCCGATGATGGGTCTTTCAAAGCGAAAGTCGTGAAGCAGATTCTGTGGATTGAGGGAGTTCGGTATGAACTGCGTGAGCTGTATGGAATCGGAAGCTCGAACACAGAAGGGCCACAGAGCCTAGAGGACAGCGATTCCGGCAAAGAATGCGTGATCTGCATGGCTGAACCTAAGGACACTGCCGTTCTACCTTGCAGACATCTGGTAAAAAGCCTTTTTCTCGTTCTTTTTTTTGCGTTTTGCTGGCCTTTTTAACTGTTGTTTCACGGCCATTCAAGTCTGTTTATCGGTTCATTTTGAAAGGAAACGTCGTTGTCGTTACGTGGATAAACAACCGGATTTCTTGAACAATTTCTGTCTTTTTGGTCCCTGAATTTGGTTAGTATATTATCAGATTTCTCAGGAGAAAGAAAGGACTTTAGTATGAATGGATCGAAGAGACTGATTTCATGTGGATGTGTGTTTCTTTTGCAGTGTATGTGCAGTGACTGTGCAAAAGAGCTGAGGATTCAATCGAATAAGTGTCCGATTTGTCGGCAGCCCATTGAAGAGCTCTTGGAGATCAAAGTGGATTCTAATGAACTATGAACAGCCTCGTACCATTTAAGGATTCCATTCCTTTTTCGGATAAAACCCTTCAGCCGAATCCATCCCATTTTGCCTCTTTTGTACTTTGTAGTGTATATGAATCCGAATCTTTCTATTTCTGTCTCTTTTGCAACCACACAACAAGAACATCCATCATTCTCTTCTCCCCTATGCGTTTGTAATGTACAGATTTATACCTAAAGTGAAGCTTCCTTTGTCTTTTCTTCTCTTCTCTTCATGCATTGATCAATCTATATGTATATATATATACACATATATGTATGGAATCTATGAATTCGATTTAGGTTAATCGCTGTCTTAATGTTGGAAATCATGATTTATAAACGTAACCTAAGAACCAGAAGGTGACCATATAACACAACCCTTTATCCACATGGTCCCCGGGAACATCCTCAGAGTTTGTGTAGTAACTCAGAAATCCATTCTGCGTCTGTGTTTTTCTTTACCCTTTTTCCCAAAAGTATACATCTGTATATACATATTGCATATACACACACAGAGAGACGTCTATATATATATATATATACACACACACACTTACACATGGGTCATAGGTATAGTTGCAGAGATTCAGAAGAAAAAGAGAGATGCTTGGAGGGTTATATACACAAACACATAGGAGAGCGATGCAAGGAACATTCTAGGATTTGAGAGATGGTCACTTTTTTTTTTGTCTTTGGCTAAACAGCGGAAAGGAAAAGCTGCTCGAGAATGTTTCCCGTTCAAGTTAAACCCTAAAACTCAATAACTTTAATATATTTATAAAAAAATATATATATGGTTTGAGGTCATTCTTTGACAGATTGTTCAAAGTTTCAAACTTTAGACAACGTATGAAGTGTAGAATTAAAAAAAGACAAATTAGCTGTTGTCCATAACTATTATATATATATATATATACATATATATGTTCAAATCCGATTAAGCAATCATCTAGACTCATAATTTTTTGTTGATTTGGATTTTATAACAGCTGAGATCTTGTGATGAGTTTCATTGTTACTTTTTGTGAAATGTTGGGCGTATGCTGAATAAAAATCTAATCTCCTGCCATTTATATTCGGTGACAAAATCATGCAACAATGACGTGTATTATAATGTATACTACCAATAATCAACTATATATCATTTAAAAATTTACCAACATAACATCCCAACCGGAAATATTACCGTTCGAACTATATAGTATATAGGTGATGTGGTAGACATTTGACAAAAAAAAACGAAAGAAAAAAAAAATCTAAAGGAAAAAAGAGAATCGGACAAATATCATACGAATGTCGGACCCATGTGAAGACTCATGTGATGAACAGAGCAATTTGGGCAAATCTCAACGACAAGAGTCAGTCCAACAATTCACATTATTACCCTTGTGGTAAAAAAATAAAATTAAAACCAAAATAAAATCCCCAATATTCCAAATTTTTTGCGTTAGGGACCACCACGCTCTCAATAATCGACAATTTCAGTACGTTACACTTGGTTGTTCCCACATGCAAACTTAGGTGAAATGTAAATAATGTTATTGAATAATATATATATATATATAACACCGTCATTAAACGTTATCCTAAATGTAAAAAAAAATGTTCATTTTCCATGTTTAAAGACTTAGGGGACTACGTTATACAGTTACCTCACGAGTTATTCCTTTGTACCACGCTTTGTGTTCTTCAACGTAACTCTTTCAATACATCATTACGTTACGGGTAACGGTCTTTCCTTGTACATAACTTTCACGTGACAACGTTTCAAAATTTTAAGCTGTGCAATAAGCTCGATTGATGGACCATATATTACATAATTAAATAACGAGTAATAATTTGTACATCGTTCTTGTGATATGGCAATTTTCTATCGAATTGAATCTTTAGAGTTTTAGATCTAGATTAATAACTGTACGGGTCTTTGATAGAGTAAATATATGTGTGGAGAAAATAAAAAATCCATTAGAAATAACACCAACTAACAAAAACAATGAGTTAAAAAGCCTTTTAAAAATAAAAATTCCACGTTGTCCGTCTTTACATGTTCTTGGGTCACAAGACCATAAACGATACCCCAAATGTCAAATTTGTATCTTTTATATTGGCTTTGTCTTACAAACTCCGTCAAAAAAATTTAAACTACATGCATATGTATATAATTTACCAAAAAAAAACTACATGTATATATTAGAGAATTACATGTGTTTAATGTGTATATTAGAGAATTAGATGTATTTAATGTGTGTATGCGTATGTATATATTTAGATATTTAAACTATCATTTCATTTGGAAGAGTGAAAAGATATTAAAAGATCTTCACAAATCCATTTTAGTAATTCATTTAATTAAAAAGCAAAAAGGTGAAAAAATAAAGGCGGGAGCAATTATGATATATATGCGTCGAAGAAAAGATTAAGGGTTATGGCCGAAAACGTGATTACGTTCACTCGACCTTTTTTTTCTATTTATTATTGGCGTATTTTAAAATATAATCCTCTTATTAATTAATTTTTAATATTTCGGAACTAGGATACAATATTAATACTTTTCTATTTTTTCTTCTCCTAATACGCATCTTATCTTTGTGTTAAATAATTTTCTCTGGTCTTTTCATTTGTACGGTCCCACTTGATCGATCAATCTTTAAAAGAAATTATATATAGTATATCATTCGTTAAGAAACCTACAATAATAGTAAATAACAAGCATAAAAATCCAGGTTAAATTTAATACGTGAAAAAGGATTAACTATATATAGTATTATTGCAAATTATTATTACAAGAATAATTTTAAGAACTAGAATTATTGTTTTTACTTCAAATATAATTTCTCTAGAAACAAATTTTGGGCAACGTATATTTTACCTAAATTCCGTAGATTAATCAGAATACAACAAATACCAAACCTAATAAATATGTCCTCAATTGGTTTCATCTTTTATGTATATTTTTTTGGTGAAACGATCCATCAATAATAATAATAATAATAATAATAATAATAATAATAATAATAATAATAATAATAATAATAATAATAATAATGTATTCTTAAGGTAAAAACTATATGAGTTGCAAAAAACATCCAAATTCAGCGTATACGCTTGTGTGAATGATGATTCCTTTTGTTGGAAGTTTTGTCACTTTTTTGTTACTTTAGGAAGTGAAAAAGAGGTTTAATGTATGGATAGACATCGAATTCGCTCCCCAATAATGGACGTGATTAGCATATATTAACCACCAATTAGTCCCTGTTAATCAACATTGATTTCCATGTTAAATACATACATTAACTCCCATCGTTGGTAATGATTAAAAAAACTTGGTCATGCGTGCTGAGCCATAATTATGTCACGAATTATTACTACATGTATATAATATATAGTTTTTGGTATGGGCAATAATTTCTTTGAATCTTAAAATTAAAAAATTCACGGCTGAATTTATATGTGTATTTGTGTGTGTGTATATATATATATATATATATATATATATATCTGTATATGTATTTTCATAATGTTGTTTCTTTCTGCCCTTTTCCAGAGAACACTCCATGTTTTGAGCCCCTATTTAAAGTTTATGTGTTTTTTTATTTTATCTATTATTTTTTGCACTTTTTTAATATTGAGTTTGGATTTTATCAGATATAATTGTCTATTATGATCATTTTTTTTTCAAAAAATAAATATTAACTCGTGATTAGCTATTTTATCAGATACATTCCCATCAAATAACTATGTTTTATAACAACATTCTAATTAATCTATTGTAGAGGCCCCTTTTTTCGGCCTAGACCGTGTATATATATAATCATACAATCTTTATACATGGATCTAAAAAAATTGAAAAAAAAATAAATAAATATTATCAGCCCTCGATTGATAGAAAATTAATCTAAATAAAATTCATAGAAAACCATAATTAAGTACATGTAATCAGTTATAAATCTATACATAGATACAATGATTATGTGTTTTATCGTATCGTGTATATGTTTACATATAAATACATAGCAATTTAATGTTCAATGGCTCCACCCATTAAATGAGCAGTACCTAAAATCATCACTCCATCCAAATGGGCGAGCCGAGCCACATAAGCCGAGCCGAGCTACTGAATCATAAAAAAAATATGATTATATAAACATATCTTATACTGTATGTAAATAATAAAAGTGTTCACAGGGTGCGTTGATTTCAAGGTCACATCTTTATGTTTTAATATTTTAAAGTTGAATAAAAAAAATACATTAAACGTTGATATGTTAGTAAATATATTTTACCCATTCATTATATTTACATTTGTTTACTATTAAGGCCAATACGAGAGAGTACTGCCCCCCCCCCCCCCTCCTTCCTTTGCCTGATAAATTAAAGCCTCCCGGAGAAGAAGAAGAAATTAAAAAGATAACGAAGGTTGCAGCTTTGCTTCACCCTCTCTCTCTCTCTCTCTCTCTCTCTCTCCGACCCTGAAATAGATGAAGTAGAGAAGTTATTGTCTACCAACTTACTGTAAAGTCTGAAACTTTTTCTTCGTTCTTCTTTGCTTCTTTCAAGTAAGTCTCTGTTTCGCTTCTCTGATCTCTCTCTCTTTCTCTGAGGATTGGTTGTGTGATTGAAAAGATCCCGAAGAGAGAAGACTTCTTTCTCTGTTTGTGTGCTTCTCTCCTCACGTAATGTATGCGTGTATGCGCAGATGTGAAATTTTTGGAGTTACTGAATGTGTTGGTGAATGTGCAGAGTGAAGCTTGGGAGGAGCCGAGGGGGTTGTCTCAGATCCACACGAAGCATTTCTCCGTTTCCTAGCTTGAGAAAAGATGAGCAAAGAAGAGTTCATGAAGATCCAGGTTTGCTTGATTCAGAAAACCCAATCTTGTTTTCTGGGTTCGTAATCTTGAATCTCGTTTTCTTGTTCTTGAATCTAAGAATCTTCTCTCTCTCTCTCTCTCTCTCTCTCTGTCATGGGTTTTGCTTGCGCATGTTGTAGACTTGTGTTCTCAAAGTGAACATACACTGCGATGGTTGTAAGCATAAAGTCAAGAAGATCTTGCAGAAGATTGACGGTACATCGCCTAACGCTTTGACTTGGATTTGATTCTCTTTTTTTTTCTCCCCAGAAAAATTCCAATCTTTCTTCTGATTTTCCGCTTTGACCCTGTTCTCGTTTCTGACTTATGAGGAGAAGTGGCTCCATTTTTTTTTAAAACTAAAAACGTGTTTTCCCCCGTGGCGCTGTCTGAAAAAAAACAGGGGTGTTCACGACCAAGATAGATGCAGACCAGGGGAGAGTGACTGTGTCTGGGAATGTCGACCCAGCAGTTCTCATCAAGAAACTCTCTAAATCTGGCAAGCATGCCGAACTCTGGGGAGCTCCGAAGCTCAACAACAACAATCAGAATCACAACCACTTGGCCAATCAGTTGAAGAACATGCAGATCGACCACGGCAAAGGCGGCGGTAAAGGCCAGAAGAACGGCGGCGGAGGCGGTGGAGGTGGAGGTGGCGGAGGTGGAGGTGGTGGCGGCGGCGGTGGTGGTAACCAGCCCAAGATGATGGGTCAGCCGCATTGATCAATCTATATGTATATATATATACATTTCAAGATCTTAAGCTGCCGCAGCTGAAGGACTTCAAAGGGCCTGTTCCTATGCTCAACAAGAACCCTCCTCCCAACCAGAAAGCTGTTAAGTTCGATGTTCCTGAGGATGATGACTTCAGTGACGATGAGTTCGACGATGATGAGTTCGATGAGGACGACGATGAATTCGATGATGATTTGGACGATGACTTTGACGATCACCCTCCTCCACCCAATAAGATGAAACCCATGATGATGCCCAACATGATGCCAAACATGATGCCTAACGCTCAACAACTCATGAACGCCGCTAAAAACAACGGCGGCGGTAATGGAAATAACGGCGGTAAAAACGGTGGCAACGCCGTCCCCATTCCAGTCCACATCGGCGGTGGCGGTGATAAAGGTGGAAACGCCGGCAAAAAGGGCGGTCCCGGTGGTGGAGGCGGCAACGGAGGGAATCCAAACCAGGGCGGTGGCAAGAACGGCGGTAAAAACGGTGGTGGCGGTGGTGGCCAACCTCACGGTAACAGCGGTGGCGGTGGAGGAGGCCAGAATAACAATAAAGGTGGCGGTAACGGTAACGTTAATATAGGTGGTCCAAACGGTCCTAAGAAGGGGAATGGCGGTGGTGGCGGCGGCGGAGGTGGAATGCCGCCTGGATTTCACCCCATGGGAGGCGGCGGGGGTGGCGGGATGCCACCGAACATGAGCATGGCCATGGGAGGTGGTGGTCCAATGGGTAACTTACCGCCAATGGGCGGTCCAATGCCAGAGGGTCAGGG